GCCTCAGTGGGTTAAGCCTCTGCCTTCAGCTCAGGTCATGATCCCAGCGTCCTGGGATCAAGCCCCACATCGGGCTCTCTGCTTAGCGAGGAGCCTGCTTCCCCCCTCTCTCTCTGCCTGCCTCTCTGCCTACTTGTGATCTCTGTCTGTCAAAAAAATAAATAAAATCTTAAAAAAAAAAAAAAAGGAGTCCGGATAACAGGGCTTTCCAGAATCTTTTATTACCAATCTTCCTTCCAAAAGCAGTGAGGGACACAGAGAAATAATAATGAGACAGAATCTCCAGCAGTCAGGTAAGTCAGGTGTCCCGTCATCCCCCCAGCTCTGGCAGCCTCGTTTGATAAAGAGCAGTGAAGTGGCAAGAATTCCTGGCAGCTGAAATGGAAGAAAGAAATATTGAACCAACCCGAAGGACCTCTAGAACCCAAAGCAATTTGGATAGACTGAGAGGGGGACTGGAGCATCTTCTCCAGAAAGTGAAGGGCAGGGTTTTACAGAGAGCCAAAACTCCCCCCACCCCCATAGTCAGGCTAGAGTCACTTTGAACCTGTTTCCCCAATCAATCTCAGTCGTGAGCAGACTTTTTTCATTTTCCCTTTGTTTCCCACAGATCTTATCAACACCCTCTTCTGCCCTACCCTGGGTCCTGAGAACTACATTTCCCAGAAACCCCAGCCATTCACTTCCGGTTAGGTTTTCCCAATAGTAAACACCTGCAGGAGATGAGATTGGAGGAAAAGTTGGAGTATTTCTTCCCGGCTGCTTCCTCTCTCTACTGTTCGTCCAGAGCTCTTCGAGAGGGCGGCTGCGGGCGTATGACCTCTCTTCCTTGGCTCTTGCTTTCCCCACCTTCAGGCCCAGGAGAAGTAAAATCTCCCTGTGTTGCTAGCCCCTGGGCACCTCACAGTTCAGCAAGGAAACCCCTGAAAACTTAAAAGGACCACCTGGGGGCTGCATTCTGTTGCCTGCTGGGATCTTGACTATTACGATGTCCTTGAGGAAGAGAGCGTGGTATAGTTTGCAAACATATATATTCAATATAAATTTGTACGGTGAAAAAAAAATACCCAATTTTAAAATAACAGATCAGGGGCACCTGGGTGGCTCAGTGGGTTAAAGCCTCTGCCTTCAGCTCAGGTCTTGATCCCAGGGTCCTGGGATGGAGCCCTACATCGGGCTCTCTGCTGGGCAGGGAGCCTGCTCCCCTTCCTCTCTCTGCCTGCCTCTCTGCCTACTTGTGGTCTTTGTCAAATAAATAAATAAAATCTTTAAAAAAATAAAATAACAGATCAGATGAATCTCAGCCCGCAGTGATCTGTAGAAGAACACTATTGCATCTTGCAAATCAATCTGGGGGAAGCGCCTGAGTAAAACAAAAAAACTTCCTGGGAGCCTAGAGGGATGGAGGCTTTTTTTTTTTTTTTTTTTTTTTTTACAAAATAAGAGTTTTATTGAGAAAATTCATGTATCATACAATTCACCTTTCTAAAGTGAATCCCTTCATCTTTTTTTTTTTAAGATTTTTTATTTATGTATTTGAGAGAGAGAGAGAGGGAGAGATCACAAGTAGGCAGAGAGACAGGCAGAGGGGGAGGGGGAAGCAGGCTCTCTGCTGAGGAGAGAGCGCGATGCGGCGTGGATCCCAGGACCCTGAGATCATGACCTGAGCTGAAAGCAGAGGCTTAACCCACTGAGCCACCCAGGCGCCCCTCACTTCATCTTTAACGTAACTATTGAGAAGGTAAGATTTATATACACCATTTCGCTATTTGTTTTCCATTTGTGTTTTGTCCTTGTTCTATTGCTCACCTCAACTTTCTTTGATGTTAAGTACTTTCTAGTGCAGTGTTTTAATGCCCTTGTTTCTTTTGCTGGATTTTAAAGTTCGTTTCTTAGCCGTTGCCCTTGGGACGACAATTAACATCGTTAACTGTTCACAGTCTAGTTTGGATCAATACTAAATGAATTTCAGTAGCATATCCAAATTCTACTCCTATATGTCTCTTTTCTCTCCACCCTTCTTTGTGCTATTGTGGTCATATAAGTTACATCTTAATATCAGTACGTATTGCCTTATGCAGATGTCTTTTATTTATTATTTTAAGGATTTTTATGTATTCATTTGACAAAGAGAGACAGTGATAGAGGGAACACAAGCAGGGGGACTGGGAAAAGGAGAAGCAGGCTTCCTGCTGAGCAGGGAGCCAAACCCCTTGGCGTGATCCCAGGATTCCAGGATCATGACCCAACCCGAAAGCAGACGCTTAACCAACTGAGCCACCCAGGGTCCCTACAGTTGTCTTTTAAATGAGGTAGGAGGGGGTGCCGGGTGGCGCAGTGGGTTAAGCCTCTGCCTCCGGCACAGGTCATGTCCCAGGGTCCTGGGATCCAGCCCTGAATCAGCTCTCTGCTCGGCTGGGAGCCTGCTTCCTCCTCTCTCTCTGCCTGTCTCTCTGCCTACTTGTGATCTCTTTCTCTGTCAAATAAATAAAAAAAATCTTTAAATGAAGTAGGAAAAGGAAATTCAGTCCTGGGATGGAGCTCCAGAGCTCAGTGCGGATTCTTGGGGTTCTTCCTCTCCCTCTGCCCCTTCCCCTGCTCATGCTCTCTCTCTAACTCTCTCAAAAGTTAAAAACAAAAACAAAAACAAAAAAAAACCACTTATCACTACCATACAGTAAATTGCCCAATTGAAAAAATCATGTTTCTTGCCTTTCGCTGCTGATTAGAATGCCCATGAGGGCAGAGATTTTTGCCTGTGGAGTTCATTGTTGTATCTACTCTGCCTACAACAACACCTGGTCAAAGGAGATGCTCAGTAAGGTTTGTGGAGTGAAAAAGTGAATGTTAAAACTCTTCTAATGGCTTTCCATCCTACTCAGAATAAACGTCAAACCCCTCTCTGCACCCTACAAGGTCTTTTATGATCTACCTTATCAGTTCCCTGCCCTCATCTCCCCCTACCCTTCTTCTCACTTACCCTGCCCCAGCTACAGGGGCCTCCCCCCGGTCCAAAATAAGCCAAGTGTATTGCTACCTCATGGCCTTTGCACCAGCTGTTTCCTCCAGGTTCTCCCAGATAGGCACATGGTTATCCCTCATCTCCTCAGGTCACTGGTCAAATGTCACCTCCTCAAGGAAGTCCTCCCTGATTCCCTTCCCGATCGTGTCACCCTGCTTTACTCCCTTCCCAGAAGGAATCTTTAACTGAAACGATCATCCGTCCCCTATGCCCACTTGAATGGCAGAAATCCCCAGGGGCCAGAACAGTGCTTGGCACACAGTAGGTGCTCAGTAAAAGAGCTCAGTGTGTTCCTAAGGTCCTAGACCTTACCTGTATCACGGCTGCCTCCAGTGAGCCCCCACTCAAGCTGAAGCTCAGAGTCTTGGTTATTGTCTAGACCTTGAGGGAACAGCCCTGAGGGTACAAATATCAAAGCAGGCAGGACCTGGCTAAGGGCTTCTGGACTCCCAAGTTCCCATCAGCCCCACCCCTTGAGCCAATGAAATTCCTCTCAGATTCAGGCAGGAGAAGGGGACAAAGCCACAAGGATCTTGGCTCCTTCTCACTTGACTGCTTCCCCTATCCCAGCATCTTCCCTGGCCTCCTTGTTCCCTCTCCTCACCTAGAACATACACTTACTCCCCAGTATCTATCTGTTGTGACCTCCAAGTGTGGTGAATAAGAGTATGACCAGATGTCCCAAGTTATTGCTAGCTATGTGACCCTGGAGAAGTCACACATCACTCTGTGCCTCAGTTTCCCCAACTGTAAACGGGACCCACTGGATCTCCCACCCAAGATTTTTGAGAGGATCAAGAGAAAAAAAATCTACATGAAGTACATAACAGTGGTCTGAGAGCCAGTATTCAGCGACTGTTAGTTATTTCTGGGTGCTCTTTACATATGAACAGAAAGGCTAACATGTATCTAGCACCTTCTCAGCTATTTACATGTGTTTTCTCACTTATTTATCACTCTAACCTCATCAGGTGGGTACTATTCCTTTTTCTGTTTTGTGGGTGAAGAGTCAGTTTCAGAGAAATTAAGAGACCAGACACAGTGGGTGGGGCGATGGGGCCTCCACTTCCCCCCCTGCAGTCACAAACATGCTCCCCTTTCTAGGCCCCTGGCAATTCTTGGTTCTGGAAGCTTGAGTTGCCTTGAGCTTGACCGGGTTCAATGCCCCCTTTACTTAATATGCATTGATTAAGTGTCTCCTGTGAGCTAAGCACTGGGAACCCAGCAATGTACAAAACAGATATAATTCCTGCCTTGGTGGGGCTACCATTTGAGTGGTGAGCACAGGTAATAAAACAGCGATAACACTGTCAGGTGGTGAGTAAGCGCTGGGAAACTTTCTGTGCCTCAGTCTCCTCATCTATAAAATGGGAGAAAAGTACTCCCCACCTCATGATATGCAATGGGGACGGGATTCACCAAGTGAATGTCTGGCCCTGTGGGAGCTATCACTCTCCCAAAATGATCATTGTTCATCATTACTGCTATATTTTAAGACCTCTGTAAGGCAAGCTGTGTAGCCTGTGTAGCCCAGGGAAGACTCAGGCCAAACCCAGCTCCACCAAAGCCACCTAAACCGACATTGAACTGTCCCCTCCCTGAACCTCAGTTTCCCCATAGGAAACTTGAAGATGGGAACACTGAGCCCCCAAGGTTGTGTAGTCAGAATGAAGTGAACACCCAATGACGGTTGTTCTCTTTAGCTCTTGACCCCTCTCGCTGGGGTTCCGGCAAATACGCAATTTTTCTAAAAGTCACCAGCCCTTGGGGTCTGCCTAGATGATATCTAACAAAGTCTCGAGTTACCTCCTGGTGGGTGATGTCTGTGGACACGTTGTGCCCATCACACGCTGTGGTCCTGATGGATTTACCACGGCTCCTGGGGCAGGAGTAACCAACCAGTTGTCATTTCAAAGGAGAAGACGGAAAGATCTGTGTAGTTCTTCTCCCCACGGCACTTCCACTGCAGAGAGGAGAATAATCACTTGAAAACTCCCTTTCAAATATCAAAATAATAAAAAACAATAGAAATCACGGTCACCATGGCTACTGTCTAGAGCAATCATGCTATTCTGGGGCTTGTGCCGAAAGCCTCCTTTTCTCGAGCCCATCATGGCTCAGAACCCTTCATGGCTGTCATCTTACTTGGGGTAAAAGCAGAATGCCTCACCATGGCCTCCAAGGCCCGGCACGATCGGCCTACCTAGTCACCCCTAGGCCTTCATCTGCCCCCACCCTCCCTCTTACTCACTCAGCTCCAGTCACACTGGTTCCCTCACTCTGTCCCCAGAGCCCTGAATAGTGCCCAGCACACAGTAGGTGCTCACTAAAGATTAGTAGAAGGGCTGTAAGAATGAATGAAACATGTTCTCCACCATCTCAAGCCTCAGCGGCCAAAACTGGGATGCCAGAAGCCCCCTACTCATCGTGGGCTGCCTCCCAAGCCTGCCCATGACCCCACAGCATTCCTGTACCCAAAACTCAGAAGTGAAACAATCCTAGAGACAGACAATGCTTTTTCCTTCCAAACTCTCCCTGGCCCCAGGAGCCCCTTCTAAACTACCTGCCTTAGGAGCTTCCGACGACACAGGCAGACAGGTCCTGCTCCTTAAACACCAAGACTCAAGAAGTAAACGCTGCCACCTCCCACCCCAGGGGGATGGTTATTTAAAAAAAAGAGAGAGAGAGGGGTGCCTGGGTGGCTCAGTGGGTTAAGCCTCTGCCTTCAGCTCAGGTCATGGTCTCAGGGTCCTGGGATTGAGCCCCGCCCGTATCAGGCTCTCTGCTTGGGGGGGAGCCTGCTTCTCCCCTCCCTCTCTCTGCTTACTTGTGATCTTTGTCTGTCAAATAAATAAATAAAATTTTAAAAAAGAGAGAGAGAATAACACATGTTGGCAAAGGTGCCGAGAAACTAGTACCCTTGTGCATTGTTGATGAGAACGTGAAATGGTTCAGCTGCGGTGGAAAACAGTACGGAAATCCCTGAAAAAAATTAAACAGAGAAATATCAGATGACCCAGCAATTTCATTCCCATATGCATTCCCCAAAGAACTGAACAGAGACTTGAAGAGATAAGCGTATGCCCATGTTCATGCGCAATGTTCACAATAGATAAAAGGTGGGAAGAACTGAAGTGTCCATCGATAGGGGAATGGATGAATCAAATGTGGTATATCTCTGTACAATGGAAGGTGATTCCGCCTTAAAAAGGAAGGAGATTCTGACCCATGCTTACAACCTGGAGGACATTATGCTCAGTGAGATAAGCCAATCACAAAAGGACAAATATTGCAGGATTCCATTTCCATGAGATCCCCAGCGGAGTGACATTCACAGGGACAGGAAGTAGAATGGTGGGTCGGAGGTGGTGGAGGGTGGTGATGGTCGCATAACCACATGAATGTACTTGATACCCCTGAACTGGACTCTTAAAGATGGTTAAGAATGCCAGTTTATGGGGCGCCTGGGTGGCTCAGTGGGTTAAAACCTCTGCCTTTGGCTCAGGTCATGATCTCAGGGTCCTGGGATCAAGCCCCGCATCAGGATCTCTGCTCAGCAGGGAAGCCTGCTTCCCTTCCTCTCTCTCTGCCTGCCTCTCTGCCTGCTTGTGATCTCTGTCAAATAAATAAATAATCTTAAAAAAAAAAAAAAAGAATGCCAGTTTATGTGAGGGGTCTTGTACCATGATAACACACCTGGGATGTGGATGGAGCTCACCTTCTCCGTGACCAAGTCCCATTCTGTGGAACAGTCATCTGGCTCATCGTAACCTCTGTAATTCTTCCTCAGGGTCGCGAAGATGTGCTCCAAGGCCATTTCTTGAACCTCATAGATGAAACTGGAAGTGATGGGCCCACAAAACAGCAAGGTGCCCCCTGTGGGGAGGTTTCCTGGGGACAGAGCAGGTGGGTGGGGTTCCCCTTCTGCTTTCTTTCTTTTAAGACTTTATTTATTTCAGAGAGAGAGAAAGAGAATGGGTCGGGGGAGGGGCAGAGCGAGAAGGATCAGCAGACTCCCCAATGTGGGGCTTGAACCCGGGAGCCTGAGATCATGACCTGAGCCCAAGGCAGATGCTTAACCACTTAACCAACGGAGCCACCCAGGTGCCCTCCCTTCTGCTTTCTTTTACTTCTTTCACAATCCCCCCCTCCCGCCCCCAGCTATGAGTCTGCACTGGAGGAGGACAAATTCTGGCTGCCATCACCCCCGAGAGAGGGACAGGGGGAAGAGCGTGGGTCTCGAGCTCCGTGCATCTGGTCGTACCCACCACAAACTTGAATCATCTGCTCTTCTGAATCACCCACATGCCTGCTCCACGCCCCCTATTTGGCTGGAACGCAATTAAAGATTTGAAGATCATCTTTAGCAACTGAATCAATCACTGCACAAAAGGGGCAAATTTCATGTTCTATTTTTTAAATCAAGGTCTAAATTAAAAAGTTTTCTGGATGAGGTAAATAGTCACATGTGTTCCAAATCCACAAAGCACAGAGGGGTAGACGACGGAAAGTCTCCCTCCCACCTTTTTCTCCCAGCCAACGAGTTCCTCCCACTCCACTACGGGGACGGTGACTGTTTCCTGTGTCCCCAAAGAGATATTCGATGTGTGTCAAAGCAAAGCGTAGTCTCATTATCCTTCTCCCTGCTTTATCCTATTCTCGTGGTTCCGCGTCTGGCTGTTGTTAGCAAGACTAGCAGTGGCTCCTGGTGCCAGTGGGATTTGTCATTTCTGGGCACATGGGTCTGGCTTCCCGCTGCCAGCAGCCAAGGGCTCCCTGTGGCCTCTCAGCCCACGTAGGCCCTCAAGCAACACTGATGGGCGATGAATCAGTACTGCAGCTCACTCGCCAGTCGAGTGGGAAAACAGCCCCCTGTTCAGTGCTGCTCCCAGATGCCCCCCTCCCCCTACAGGGCTGAGCCCACCTGCCTGCAGGGGCGTCCTTTATGGGCAGCGTTCCCTTCCCTGCCTCACTTCCCCCCTGTCCCTCCAGGTCCCTCTTGGGATCCCCTCTCAATCCAAGAACGTCAGTATAAATGAACCACCCTTCTACTGATGCTTACAATCTCCTGCCTATCCTGGTATATACATCCTTCTGGGCCCCAGCGAGCAAATCCTTGGATGATTTCTAGGGATGGGATAGCTGGGTCAAAGCATCCGTGCTTTGTCATTTTGGCGGGTTTGGCTCCACAGCCCTCTGCTTCTGACACCTTTCAAAACCCCAGCAGTTTTCACAGCTTTGCCTAGTGCTTCGCCACCAAGCGCCCGGGAGATGGTGAATGAAATTAACTCGGCCCGTTTCCTAGACCCCTTGAGGGGACGGCGGAGGGTTTTGGTTCTTCGCCCCATGTCTGGAGACCCAATCTCCGGCCCCAGGGACCCATGGGCCAGGTATCACCCCATGGATGGCTCCTGGGGGGGAGGTGCAGTGCTTCTATCGATTGGATTTCTTTCTAATGTGGGGTGGGAACAGCGGCCAATGTGGAACAATGTGGAATAGGGCAAGGACCACAGCGACAACTATGATGTCAACAATGAGAATGGTAACCATGGACAGGAGACACTGGAAGACACAGAGGGGCTGGAGGAGGCTGGAAGCCTGCTCAGCCAGTGTCCCTGCAGGGGTGGGGACTGTCCCTCCCCCAACCTCAGGCCTTGCGGGCTCTTCTGTTTGTAAGAACTCAGCCCCCGGTGGGATGTAGAGCTGCTTTCTTTCATGGGGCGTTTTCCTGCATGTCGTGCAGGATGCATGCACCGAGGTGTTCTTGGAGCCACTAGCTGGAGCTCCATTTCATGTCCTGAATTTTCTGGGCACCAGGGAGACCCTAGGAGGGGACCTCCAGGTCAGTAAAGGCTCTGCGCATTGACAGCCGGCACCCGTGGTGATACAGGAGGGTCGGTGGAAAGGACAGAATGGAGACAGGAGGAGGGGAGGAGAAGCAGGCGAGAACTCTTGCAGATGGGGGGAGGTGCTGTAGGGAAGATGCTGGGTGAGAGGTCGGTGGCTGCAGGGTTGGTGGGGAGGTGGAAGGAACTTATGTTTGCTGGCCTATGTTTCAGATAAAATTCACAAGCCCCATGGTAAACGATGAGAAAGACAGCCAGCAGAGGGGATGTCTTGAAGTCACCCATCAAGAACCTGCGCTCAGTCTGGGCCTCAGTTTCCCCGTAGATAAAATGTGAGCATGGGACCAGCTCAAGGGGCATCAGTAAGTTCTGGAGATCGAATGGAGGCCAGATGGGGGCAAAGCAGGTCAGCTCCCGGCTCTCCTTTCATCTAGTTGATTATGATTATTAAAATCTCTTTGCTGGGGCACCTGGGTGGCTCAGTGGGTTAAAGCTTCTGCCTTTGGCTCGGGTCATGGTCCCAGGGTCCTGGGATCGAGCCCCACTTCGGGCTCTCTGCTCAGCAGAGAGCCTGCTCCCCCCCCCTCTCTCTGTCTGCCTCCCTGCCTACTTGTGATCTCTCTGTCAAATAAATAAAAATAAACTCTTAAAAAAAAAATCTCTTTGCTAATTGAGGCTCTGAGTTGCCAGACCATCCCATGGCTGGGCTTATCTAGTCCTGATATGGAAAGGCAGGAACACGCCGTGGATACACACCTGGCGACGCCAGGGCCCACAAGGACAAACATGGATGCAGGGCTTAGCAGTTGTGGAACCCCCGACAAGTGGTTCATGTAATAGATTGTGGGGATTAATATTAATATTACTACCTCGTGCCTCTAGGTGACCAAGGTGGCTGGATAGATATCCAGGAGTCCATATGGCCTACAGGTCTCATCTTCAGAATCTGTCCCTAATCTGCCCACTTCTCCCCGACTTCACAGCCTCACTCGGCCCAGCCCCCACTGTCTCCCACCTAAACCAGCACAGTCCCTCCACCCTAGTCTCTCAGTCTGGCCCTCGTACCCCACACTCTGTTCCCCCAATGACCACCAGAGGGCGCTTGTGAGCACCTGAGTCCCGGCGCCTCCCTCCTGTGCTCAGAATCCTCCATGGCTCCCAACACCATAAAAAACAATTTTGCTTTTCTGAATGAGATCTCAGAGACTTTGGAGGGACGGGTGTAAAGGGTAAAATCGATCAGATTCTCTGGTGGGCTGGACGTAGGGGATGAGGACTCTTTGATTCCTCCAAGCTAAACTATGGATAAAATAGCGTCCACGTCTTACTGAAAATGAAATGGAGGGGCACCTGGGTGGCTCAGTGGGTTAAAGCCTCTGCCTTCGGCTCGGGTCATGATCCCAGCATCCTGGGATCGAGTCCCGCATCGGGCTCTCTGCTCAGCAGGGAGCCTGCTTCCTCCTCTCTCTGCCTACTTGCGATCTCTGTCAAATTAAAAAAAAAAAAAGAAAAAGAAAATGAAATGGAATTTTTCAGGCACAGGACCTGTCCAATAAATATTTGCTGAGTGGAGTCATTAAGAAAGAAAACGAGATGATAAAGCTTCAGGGAGAAGGAGGGTGGGGGCAGGGTGCTTTTAACAGTGAAGGTTGTTTATGCTCTGAAAGGTGACCCCACTAAGGATCTCCCTGAAACCTCAAATTGAAATAACCAGAGTTTTACAGTAACACAATAAGAAAGGAAAACAAAAAATGCTGGAGACAAATTTTACCTAAGGTGGGATAATCCACTCAGACAAAATTCTAAGGGAAATGGGAATGGGGAAGCTGGGAGCTGGCCTTTGGGGAGTTAGCCACGGCTACATGTGAGAATAAGCAAGATGCATAAAATCGGCAACACGCTGTCTGCTTGCTCATGCTCCAAACTTTCATATCTCATGTACTTGAACATGTGCTAATGCAGACACGATGATAGCAACAGTGTTGTGTTAGTGGGAACACATACACATGAGCCGATGGAACAGAGCAGTGTGCCCAGGAAAGACCCAAGGATAATGGAAATTAGTGTAGGAAGGAGAGGACTGACCCCTACCTCACACCACACACACATAAGCAAACTCCCAAAAGCCAAAGAGCTCAAAGTGAGAAATCAAGACTTCCAATTATGGGAAGAAAACCTGGGAGACTATAATGTTATGGCCTGGGGTAGGGGAGGAGTTCTAAGCGAGATATATCATGAAGGAAAAGATGGATGGATCTGATGCCATCCTATGAGACATCACAAGCACTGAAAAATAGGGGATGCTGATGGCAGGGGTTTGTAATAAGTGCAAGGAAGGATTCACCTGGGGGTGGGGTGGGAGTTTGGGGGGATGGGTGCAGATCTAACTTACAAACAAGAGAGTGCCTCTATTTTCTCTGGTTGCTCCATACCAGCCAACAAAGCCAAGCAGCACCGTGAGGCAGCCCACTGCCGGGCGCAGACAGCCAGTGTTAAGGAGATATGCAGAGGATAGCCCAAGGACCTTTGCCAGGACAGCCTCTCTGAATTTGACATAGATGCCCAGGCCAATGAGGATCACACCAGACATCTTTAGGACAGAAATCAGACAGGAAAAGATAGTCTGTTAGTTGTATACAAATAGAACTCAGGGGCGCCTAGGTGGCTCAGTGGATTAAGCCACTGCCTTCGGCTCAGGTCATGATCTCAGAGTCCTGGGATCGAGCCCCGCATCGGGCTCTCTGCTCTCTCGGGGAGCCTGCTTCCTCCTCTCTCTCTGCCTGCTTGTGATCTCTCTGTCAAATGAATAAATAAAATCTTTAAAAAAAAAAAAAAACAAATAGAACTCTCCCAGGGTGGGGGGGGGCGGGGGGGGGGGGGGGGGAGGGGAAGAGCAAAGGCCAATAAAATCAGCAAAAACATTAAAAAATGTTAATACCCAGAGTTAGTGAGGATGTGGAGAGACATTCTTATATACTGTTGCCAGACAACAAGCTTTTTTAAGGGGGAGGGCATGCGGAAGGACACTTTGCGATTCATATTTAAAATCTTAAAGATTTTACAATAAAACCCTTTACCTAGAATTTACATTTGTAGATATTCAACATAATATCTGATATCCTCATAGACACATACATACATACCTCAGCATTAGAATGCTCAGGGAGGAAACTACCTGAAGCAATCAATAGTACAGATTGGGTAGGTAAATCACGGCACAGCCATACAATGGGACTCTAGACAGTTTTTTCTTTTTTTTTTTTTTTAAGAGTTACTACCAATTCTTTTTTTTTTTTTTTAAGATTTTATTTATTTATTTGAGAGAGAAAGAGAGCATGAGAGTAGAGAGGTCAGCAGGAGAAGCAGACTCCCTGCTGAGCAGGAAAGCCCGATGTGGGACTCGATCCTGGGGCTCCAGGATAATGACCTGAGCCAAAGGCAGTTGCTCAACCAACTGAGCCACCCAGGCGCCCCTCTAGACAGTTTTTTCAAATGATGCTCTAGGACAAGGTTTGGCAATCTGTGTGTGTGTGTGTGTGTGTGTGTGTGTCTACGCGCGGGTGCGCGCAAAGCCCCAGAAATTGTGAGTTTTGGATGCCATAGGCCTCTGTTGAAACAACTCAGCTCTGTCAGCAGAGCTTAAAGACAGCCATGCACAATTCATAAACAAATAGATTTCATTTACAAATAAATAATAGCGATCTATCCATTTATCTCTCTATTTACAAGGCTGTAGTTGTCTGACCCTTATTGTCGGAGGAGAATGTTTACCAGTATGGCAGTCGTGCTCTTTGGTATTTATGCAACCGAGCTGAAAACTAATGTTTACACAAAAGCCTGCGCATGGAAGTTTCCAGAAGCTTTATTCATCATTGCCAAAACTGGAAAGCAACCAGGACAGCCTTCAGCAGGTGAATGGATAAACTGTGGTGCATTCAAGGGACTATTAGCACTAAAAAGAAATGAGCCATCAAGCCATGAAAATATATGAAGGAAACTCACACTCATATTGGTGAATGAGAGAAGCCCATCTGAAAAGCTTACGCAGTGTACGATCCCAAGTATACGTCATTCTGGAAAAGGCAGAACTATGGAGACAGTAGAGGACCAGTGGTCGCCAGGGGTGAGTGGGGAGGTAGGGAAGACGGGTGGAGCACAGAGCACCATTATATGGTGAACTACTCCATAAATACTAAAATGGTGGATTCATTGTCAATGAATCCATAGAATGTACAACACCAAGAGTGAACTCTAATGAAAATTATGCATTCTGGGTGATGATAAAGCCCGTGGAAGTTCATCGATTGAATTGTAGCAAACTTACTGCTCCGGGGGGAGTGTTGCTGATGGGGGAGGCTGCGCATGTGTGGAACAGGGGTATATGGGAAATCTCAGTACCTTCTGCTCAATTGTGCCGTGACCCTAAAACTGCCCTAAACATGAAATCTATCCAAAAGGAGGGGAAGTTAAATTTTTTTAGAGGGAAAAAGTGGATCGTAAAGCAATAGCTTTCCTGTGTTCATTTTGCTGTTTTTAAAAGGTATATAGAAAAATCTGGAAGGGTGTGAAAGTGGTGATGGTATTTATTCAGCACTGTTCCCATGATAGGCATAAGCTCTTTAAATGTTCTATCTCATTTAATTCCCATGAAAATGTTACAACACCAGTAACAAGATGAGGAGTGATATTTAATAGCCTCCTTTTTCCTGGTGACCTTTCCTTAATGCCATTCTGCTATCAAAACAATTGCCTTTTTTTTTTTTTTTAAGATTTATTTTAGGGGAGCCTGGGTGGCTTAGTTGGTTCAGCATCCGCCCTTGGCTCAGGTCACGGTCTCGGGGTCCTGGGATTGAGCTCCACCTCTGACTCCTGGCTTAGTGGGGAGCCTGCTTCTCCCTCTCCCTCGGCCCCTCCCCCACTCTAATAAACAAATAATAACAAGTAAACAAATAAAATAAAAATCTAGGGGCGCCTGGGTCGCTCAGTGGGTTAAGCCGCTGCCTTCGGCTCAGGCCATGATCTCAGGGTCCTGGGATGGAGCCCCGCATCGGGCTCTCTGCTCAGCAGGGAGCCTGCTTCCTCCTCTCTCTCTGCCTGCCTCTCTGCCTGCTTGTGATCTCTGTCTGTCAAAAAAAAAAAAAAACAAACTTTAAAATAAAAATCTAATAAATAAAATCAAAAAAGAAAAAAAAGATTTATTTTGCGAGAGGGGAGGTGCAGAGGAAGAGATTTGTTTTTTGTTAAAGATTTTATTTACTTATTTGAGAGAGAGAGGGGCATGAGCAGGGGGAAGGGCAGAGGGAGAAGCAGACTCCGCATTGATCTGATAAGGGACTAGATCTCAGAACCTTGGGATCACACCCCGAGCGGAAGGCAGACGTTTACCAACTGAGCCACCCAGGCGCCCGAGAGTCTTTTTTTTTCTTTTAAGGATTTATTTATTTATTTGAGAAAGAGAGAGAAAGCACATATGAGTGGGGGAGGGCCAGAGGGAGAGAGAGAGAGAATTCCAACCAGGCTCTGTGCTGAGCCCATGGTTGGGGGGGGCGGGGGAGCTCGATCTCACCACCTGGAGACCACGACCTGAGCCCAAATGCAGAGTTGTCTGCTTAACTGACTGCGACACCCAGGCACCGCAAAACAAATCCTTGTTAACGATGAACATTTTGGGTTGCTTTTATAGTAAGAAAAAAAGGTGTTTTGAAAAATTTAAAGGACCCCCCCAAAATAACCACTACCTCTTTTTTTTTTTTTTAAGATTTTATTTACTTATTTGACAGAGCACAAGCAGGGGGAGTGGGAGAGGGAGAAGAAGGCTTCCCGCCAAGCAGGGAGCCTGATGGCAGAACTCGATCCTAGGACCCTGGAATCATGACCTGAGCCGAGGGCAGACACTTAACAACTGAGCCATCCAAGTGCCTAACAGTCACCCCATCTTGTCCTTCCCAAACAACTTAGTGTTCTACAGGATTTGACCTAGAGTCAAGCTCTTCTTCAGCCACCAATCCCAGCCCCAACCCCCTCCCCTTCTGCCCAGCGCCCCCTCCCCCATCACACGCCTCTGTGCTTGATTTCACTGACTCTGGGTGAACAGAGCCTACACCTGTTCCCAGTGTGTCCTGCTCCTTGTCAGTCTGCCCTACATCTTTCCTGCTTCTCCGGGGACCACCGATCTGGATGCCAGTGAATTTGGATCAACTTATTTCTGTCTTTGAAGGAGCCAGTTACGGAGGAAGGGCTGCAAAGCCCCAGGGCCTGGGTAGTGACATACTTACAACTCTGAAGCCATTGAAGAAAGATAACAGTCTCTTCGGGGAAGAATACAGAGTGTGCATTTCATCCACGTTGGCCAGACTGGGGGTTCCGGATGTTCAGGTCGGCATCTTCCTGAATAAACCTCAGGGCTCCTGTTTCCCCTGATGGTATAGGTCTAGGACCAGGGGCACCAAGGCTGACTTGTCCCTCTCTCTCCTGGCTGTCCGATCGTCTGCCAGCGAGGTGCCCCAGCAGCCACCCCTCTGCAGTCATAAGCCTCTATCACGTCACAATTGGATGCCAGAGCGAGGGTCCCCGTGTCCAGGAAGCAGGTACCCTGAGCTACCCCTGCCGGTTCCTCATCCTCCAAACAGGCTGCACCAGGGGTGGAGAAAAGGCATGATGGGCTGCCCTGGTACCCCCCAGATGCCACTTGGGCCCTGTGGGCATAGCGTTCAGCACTGACCGCTCTTGCGGTTAATGCCCCCACTAAACTGGGGGCTCCAAGTGGGCAGGGTTCTGAGCTCTGCCCTAGTCACGGTTGTGTTCCCAAAGCTTGGCACACAGAGAAACCAATATGGAATGAATGAATGAAGGAGCTCCAGGAAGCAGGATCTGGCTACAAGCCATCAGGTCCCCCAAGCTTCTGCCTCCTCATTCACTCATGTGACTCATCCTCACCCTTCTCACGGGGCTCAGAGGACAAGGTAACTGCTCAGGGAGACCCAGGGATCAAGGTCAAGGCTGGGCTTTGAAACTCCAAGAGAGACATGAAGGTGGGAACCTCTGACAGCGCTCCACCCTCCCCACTCCAGCCCCCCTCCCCACTCCCCGCCAAAACCTTTTCTTTCTCCCTCTGCTCAGCCACAGCAGGTGAAGCAAATTTCCTTGAGCCCAAGTGCCATTGATCGGCGGGCCCTGATGAGATGTGCGTAGCAGGCATTTCAGAGGAAAAATTGTGCATGTAGGCATCGAGACACCCCCCCCCGGCACACACATTTGAATTAATTTAACGAATGTTTGTCAAATTATCTGCTTCTTGGAATATGTGGAACTAAAAATTTGCACGTAGGAGTGACCATCTACTCCGCGACTGCGGGTCACGTTCCCATCTAGGAGGGTGTCCTTTCACGACTTTCTCTAAAAGGTCACTGAAATAAAGAGCCCAAGAGCCAGGTGCAGAGGGCCCGAAAATGAGGATGCACAGGAGGGTGAGAAAATGGAGGCGCAAGGGAGTATGGGAAAATGCAGGGATGCAAATGAGGGCTTGAAAATGTGGGCAAAAGTGGACAGGAAAGGGTTGGTGCTCAAAGAGGGCGGGAAAATGAAGGATAAATAAGGGCAGGGAGGGGGCTCCTGGGTGGCTTAGTGGGCTAAAGGCTCTGCCTTCAGCTCAGGCCCTGATCCCAGAGTCCTGGGATCGAGCCCCACATCGGGTTCTCTGCTTGGCAGGAAGCCTGCTTCCTCCTCTCTCTCTGCCTGCCTCTCTGCCTACTTGTGATCTCTGTCTGACAAATAAATAAATAAATAAAAGTTTAAAAAAAAAAAGCGGGGCGGGGAGGATGGGAGGCCCACTGGAGGCTGAAGGAGAGCTGACCTGCCAAGGCCAGAGGAATACAGGACCCTTAGATGGAGGCGTGAGGTACCTCCCCCAAGCCCCGCCCCCGCGGCAGCCCCGCGCGGAAGCCCCGCCCCCGCCCCGCCCCGCCTCGGCTTACCAGCAAAGAACAGGCGTGCGTCTCGGCCTCTCGCGCCCCCTGGCGGCCATCAGCGGAAAGCGCGGCCCTACGGGGGCCCCTACTAGTCAGTCTCCCAGCCAAGCCACCGCTAAGTGCACCTCGGTGCCCCAGACCCACTCGGGTCAGCAGGATGAAATGGAGTGTGTCTGTGACGCACCCTGCAAGTCCCCCTAACCCACGCCAACTGAATTGGTGCGAAGAAACAGAATTGTGCAGGCATCTGGCGAATTACAAATTGTGCAAGCATCCGGCGAATTGTAAAATGTCAGATGCTTGGAAAAAAAAAAAAAACAAAATTAGTGCAATCTATCAGTGATAGTTCAAAGGTTCTAGAAAACCGTGAAAAGCTTCTCTTGAAGGGAAGCTACAGAACCATTAGGAAAACATTTAAACATTATTGTAGAAATAGAACTACTCCAATATTTGCTTAATAATAGAGCTTAAGGTGTGTTAAGATAGTCCTAATTCATTTCTCCCCCGCCTGGTCTCCTTCGTTATATTTTAGGAGATTTTTTAAAAGATTTTATGTATTAAAAAAAAAAGATTTTATGTATTTATTTGAGGGAGAGGGAGAGAGCATGAGTTGGGGGAGTGGCAGAGGGAGAGGGAGAAGTTGACTCCCCACTGAGCAGGGAGCCCAATGCAGAGCTCCAACCCAGGTCCCTGAGATCATGACCTGAGCCAAAGGCAGATGCTTAACCAACTGAGCCACCTAAGGTGTCCCTAGGAAATGTTTTTCAAAAGCACCGTAACCAAGAAAATCAAGCATCTTAAATACACAATACACACACGTTGGTGCCCTCCCCCAACCCCAGTATCCCATTATGCTGAGCCCACCAATAGGAGCCTCAGGGGATAGGTTCACCCGGTTGATTGTTCATGTAAAATCAACAGCATTGATATATTTGTGCATTTAGGTCCTACAAAACCTGGATCCGACCCTCACCAGGGGCCATTTTATGGGTTAAGTTATTTTAGTCATAATCACTGGGGGCAGAGTGAGAAGTCAGAAAATACTACCCAACAGAAAAGTCTGGAAAGAAAGCAGGAAAGAAAGGTCAGTTTTTCCTGAGGTCTCTCTCCTTGGCTTGCTGATGGACATCTTTTCTATGGTCTTCATGTGGTCTTCCCTCCGGGAGAATCTGTCTCTTAATATTCATCTTTAAAAAAAAAAAAAAAGATTTGGAGGTTATATGCTATGGTGAATGCTGTGAAGTGTGTATACCTGGCGATTCACAGACCTGTACCCCTGGGCCTAATAATACATTATATGTTAATAAAAAAATTTTAAAAAAAGAAAAAAAAAAGATTTTATTTGTTTATTTGAGAGAGAACATAGGCAGGGGGAGGAGCAGAGGGACCAGCAAACTCCCCGCTGAGCGGAGAACAGGACATGGGGCTTGATCCCAGGACCCTGAGATTATGACCTGTACCAAAGTCAGACACCTAATAGCCTGAGCCACCCAGGCAGCCTCTTAATCCTTCCTATGAGGACACCAGTCATATTGGATCAGGTTCCATCCATAGGAACATCGTTTTACCTTCATTTACCAATACTGGTCCATCGGTTGTAAGTAATTGATCACTAATGCAAGACGTTAATAATAGGGCAAGCTGCAGGTTGGGGAGAGAGGAGACACGTAGTAACTCTCTGTGCTTTACATTCAATTAGTCTTCAAGCCTAAAACTTTAAAAAAGTAAACTCTATTAATTAAAAAAAGAAGAAGAAGGGGTGCCTGTGTAGCTCAGTCAGTTAAGCATCTCACTTGTGATTTTGGCTCCATTCATGATCTCATGGGTCATGAGATCAAGCCCTGTGCCTGGTTGCGTGTTCAGCAGGGGGTCTGACTGGGATTCTTTCTCTCCTTCTCCCTCCGATCCTCCCCCGACAAATAAATAAATAATTTTTTTTTTTTAAGAAATCACTGGTGGTGGCATCTGTTTTTTTGCTCCAAACTCATTTGCGTAATTTGACTTTTTTTTTAAAGTCTTTTTTAAAATGAGGAAATGGAACACAAATGCAGAAAACTCCATAAAACACATATGCCTTCTAAATGGGACAAGTGAATCATGACAAAGCAGACAACATTGCAAGCATGTTTTGTAACTTTGTGTAAAAAATATAGTACCGTAGGTATGATTTTTTATAACTTGCTGGGAAGGCAGTGTGGTATATTCCTCTGCTCTGTGGGGAGCCTGCTTCCCCCTCTCCCTCTGCCTGCCTCTCTGCCTACTTGTGATCTCTGTCTGTCAAATAAACAAATAAAATCTTAAAAAAAAAAAAAAAGAAAGAAAATGGAAATCTTGGGGCGCCTGAATGGTTCAGTTGGTTAAGCATCTGACTCTTGATTTCAGCTCAGATCAGGTATCAAGGTCGTGAGTTGGAGCCCCCTGTTGGGCTCCGTGCTCAGTTGAGTCTGCCTGAGATCCTCTCCTTCTGCTCTCCCCCATCATGATCTCAGGGTCCTGGGATCCAGCCCCACGTGGGGCTCCACGCTCAGCAAGGAGTCTGCTTCTCCCTCTTCCTCTGCCCCTCCCCTCACTGGTGCTCATTCTCTCCCTCAAATAAATAAATAAAATCTCTAAGAAAAAACATGGAAATCTCTTCCCTGCTAGTTATTCACTGGGGGCCAGGGTTGTTTTGAGATAAATGAAATCATAAATCCCCATTTTAGAGATGGATAAACTGAGGCATGAAAGTCTAAACACCTTGGTGATGTCACATATAGAGAGAGTCAGATTTTGATCCCAGGGTCTTAATCTTAACCACGACATAGACCTTTTGGTGGTTGCAGGACCCCTGTCCAGCTCTCTGCCCATGAGGACATACACATAGTCTTTCTTATGTTAAAATATAGAATCCAGGGGCTCCTGGGTGGCTCAGTGGGTTAAAGCCTCTGCCTTCAGCTCAGGTCATGATCCCAGGGTCCTGGCATCGGGCCCCAAATCAGGCTCTCTGCTCCGCAGGGTGCCTGCTTCCTCCTCTCTCTCTCTCTGCCTCTCTGCCTACTCGTGATCTCTGTCTGTCAAATAAATAAATAAAATCTTTATTTAATAATAAATATTTTCAAATTAAATTATTATTTATTTAATAATATTATAAAAATTATTAAAAATAAAATATATGTAGAATCCATCACAGCCTTGGAAGTTCAATGGTGAGGAAAAACCATCCCAACACAGCAGATTCCAAAGTTGGGTTTTCAGAACAACCATAACCTTTTTAAAAATTTTTTTAAATTTTGGGGCGCCTGGGTGGCTCAGTGGGTTAAGTCTCTGCCTTCTGCTCGG